CGGCATCGTCAGTGAGTATCGCCATTCTTAGCACCACACAACAACTCGTCAAAGAGACAAGTGAAGCAGACCCTTTGACCAAACGTGTGCTAAACAATTTCCTTCCGAAGTACATTTTTATTTAATTATAGTGATGCAAAATAAATGTAAATCAAGGAGTTAAAAATGTGAATATTCCTTAATTTAGGTCTTCTGAATCGTGGTGACTTAATGTGAGGTGAGGATTTGGTTTTATCTCAATAAAAGCCTTATGCCCTCAGGAGCCAGGATAAGAAAGTTCAAAAACTTTTAAAGCTGAATTTATTCACCTTTGCTTATTTGATTACATTTTATTTATGCATATCGAAATGAGCTTTTAATGGTACGATTTCTAGCCACTGTACTATGCCAATGCTTACAATTTTCCCTTATATATACATATATATATTGGTTTCCGTTGGTGATGATATCATTGCTAATAACGGCAATAACTCAAGCTATCAAGCTAAAAAATTAGAAAAGGATCATCTTGAAAATCATACGTTATCCTTTCTTATGTTGATCATGGCTTGAAATCCTCAGCATTCTAGATCATGTTACAATTAAAATTAGCCAGATATCCCCTACGGTTGCCTAAATCCAGATGGTTTATCAAATCATTAATAACCGAGTATGTGGTTCCGGCACATCATTAAGTTTTGTTTCGTTTTTCTGCATAAGTAGTTTCCGTGACTCAGTAATTCTTGAATAAGGTAGTTTAACGATTAATAGTTGCGCTTTCCCAAGATGAAATGATTAAACCTTATGGTGATACTGATGGCAATACCAGTATAAATTTTATTTGGGACAGGCCCGACTTGTCTGTGATTTACTAGCACCCATGGTCATTTAGTGGCGCCATCGCTTTGTTACTCACTACTCGATATCGAGTCCCGCTGAGAGAGATCGAGTTCTAGGAGAGGTTAAAACTGTATTTCGTCCTGGATCAGATAGCCTTTTGAGAGGCAAGGCTAAGTGAAATTTAATTGCATCCTGAATTCTACTCATATAATTGTGTAAAAACTCAACTACAAGCCTCAAAATCACCTTGTGCGACCTAGAGTGACCGTGCTCCTGTTCATCTAGATTTGTTTGTTATATTAGCATTTTGTTAATCATTTTCGATCGGAGATTCGACTTTGGCTAATTATTTAAAATGGCTGTAGCAGCCCAGCCCGCGCCGATAAGCTACATGGGGGATTAAGCCGTTAGGAGTGAACAGTATCGATAAAGCAAGGTTTGATTGCCACTAGACCTGACTGTTGCTACAGTAGATCGATAATGGTCTAAACAGTCAGTACGTTAATAATAATGGTAATAATAAGAGTCAACTCTATCGGCATTAATAATCCAAGGCGTAATAGCTGGGTCTCAAGACCGAATGATCAATACTTTACATATAAGTAAATTTGGTCCACCCTATCTTTCTAAGCAAGATGGGTCCTGTCCGAAAAGATTTCAGCAGAATTCTCAATCATTCGCGCCAAGTGATAAGGCGTCCAGATGGCCCACTGCGTCGGATTCCCTAAGTAAATTCGACTTAAAGACGACCCAATCCAGACATATTCTGTCTATGGTGATGCAGTGCAGCTTAAGTGTGGCTATTTGGATGAGACAAATTGATAATCCAGTGGGTCTCCTCGCCAAGCTGAATGGGACTGCTGACGTTTTCAGACACCCTCGCCGGAACTGCACTCCGCTTCCCTACCGTTGATATCTTCTAGTGGCGAGGCTTAAGAGATCCTATCATTCGCATTCAAACGCTCATTCATCACCCACCCTGCGAATTGCATCTCATTAAATGACGTACTACCAATATATTGCACAACGCCCAATATTTTCACCCATACATACTAGAGACCAACAGCATGCCATATATTTCCTCGCCCTAGTCAACTTGATATCATGTCTGCAAGATTGCTTCGTATGCAGTTAGCTAGTTGAAAGTTGAGCACCGATGTTTTGTTGCGAAAAACACCCTATAGAGCTGGCAATGTGAAATAAAGTAAGAAATCTCTGCATTTATTAATTGGAATTGAAATGTAATTGGTTTGTAACTCAAATCCAAATATAAGTAGAGTAATAATTCAGCAACTAACATTTAGGCCTCTAACGGCATTTCATTATGAGACATCTTCACACCTGAAGTGGGGTCTAAAAACGTGGAAACCCGAAGTTGCTAATATGAATTTCGGGTGTTGATTTGATTGAAGCATTCATTACCTTATCTGTGGCATAAATATAAAGTTTTCAATTTGATGAATGTGATGATCTGATGACTGTCTAGCTGGTGACACTTGGTTGCAACAGTCGACAATTATACTGGCATTTTCTGAAGGCCAGGGCGATTTCATAAATCACAATCGTTCTCTCACCATTATCGGTCATAAGTTAATAATATCGATTGCTTGATATGAAAATTTATATTGCACTAATCTTCATTTGGAAACCAATCATGAGGAAAGACAAAAATCAATACATATCAAAATAGAAATTACTTAGACAGAGTATACACCTTATGTACATGCATTTATATGAGGCTTTCACAGCACATGCTCATGTATTTAGATGCATAAAGAAAGTCAGGGGATTAGAGGGAATCGTGGCAACATGAGCACTCTGATAAATATAAAAGAAGATATAATAGAAGATACAGAAACGGGAATTGGGATTTCACAGAAAAGGCCAGAGATATCGAACAAGAGAGGATTTAAATCAAGCGGCCAAAGGTGAAGAAAGAAGATAAAATGTTAGAATAAACAAGAGCATAAAGGCGCCATTCTAAGGAGTAAGCGCAATCCTGAAACCGGGATAAATTTGTCAGCCTTTTCTTCCACTCGTTCCTCCGCCTCCCATCAAGCCGCCGAGCCCTCCCAAACCGCCCGATTGTAATTGACGCATCATATTTTGCAGACCAGCCATTCCGCCCATTTGGTGAAGGATGCGGGGGTCCATTACTTTAGCCATTGATAGATTGAGTTTAGCCATTTGACCGGAGTTGAGGTTGCGCATTGAAGGGTCGACTAGGCTGCCTCCCCCACCAGGTACACCTATCATATAAGCATTTGAAATTAACATATGAAAATGCGTAAACAGCGGGTGAATATTATCATACATAAGCAGTATAGCTAGTATGAGCCCTAGTAGGCTGCAAACGCGAGAAAGTGGTTTGACCTGAGCCAGATATGGGACAAAATAGTCGAGTAGATACGATAATTCCAAATAATGCCCATGTTTAAACAAAACATGCTTAGGATCTTCGACAATGTAAACAGGTAAAATGAACCGATACCGAACATTTCACCTGTAGGCAGAAGGTTAAGTGCATGGTCTGTTAACGCCTTTGCTCGTGGCTGAGTTTGCATATTTATCTGTTATTATTCGTTTATAAGTAGATTTTCGAGACTAACAGTGGATCATGAATATGTGGTGTCTCTGTGGTTTAGTGATAAATGGACTGGTAGGTAAATTTCCCCACAATCATGAGTATGCCTTACGTTTCCATTGATTTTCACATAACCTTGTTTTCCAAAAGGGTATTACCATTCCGAATGAAGTGGAATACAGCTTACATCTCGCCTAGGTCTCATCAACACTCCCAACGGGGTGTTGCTATATCGAATGCAACTTTACTTCATCGACAATCCCATCACAGGATGTGGTGAAAAGACCATTTGTTTTCATAATTCCCGTCCCGCCATCTGCTCATGAATATTCATTTTATTTTATTATTCTCTTTGGATGTCCATTTCCAAGAAATATTCGAATTATTTCTTTCCTATAAATAAATATCAGTTAATATTGGACTTCTAATGATCATGTTTACTAGTATCCCAATAACCTCAGTCCGTAATGATGGTGAGACTGGAAACTTTAGATTGTTTGCGTGTTATTTATTTCTGAACAGCTTTCTCCTAGGGACAGAGAATAAACTATATATCCAAAAATGGTACATGCCTATCATCGTATATCTAAACAGCCATGGGTATCGCTTAAGATTATTAAGAACTTATCCTTCTTTTTCCATGCAACCGTAGTGCGAAGTAGTCATCGAGGTATCACATGATTAGTACTGGCTACTAACATGTAAATCCTCTGCATATAGACTTAAGCTAGTGAGTCCATGGACATGCCAAATATCTGTTCACCGACGGAAGCTTACTGCAGATACATCAATTGCTCATTGATAGTTCCGTTTCCTCTAACCTAATATTATTGATCCTCCAAAAGAGGTTTATCAAGACCCTTAATTTAGATATGAATCTAATCATCCATCTCTTAGTCTTTCATCACCTTAACGAAATATGATGAATACATCTCAAAGCATAGGATGCCTCATTTAAATTATAAAATGCGACATAAAAAAGTATGTCCGTAAACAACAAAATTTTCTCTTTGTTTACTATATTGGTATTTATTTTAGTAAAATAGAGTTTCTAACTCTGACGATGTCGTCGCATGGCATACGAAAGCCACAGGGCGACTAGTCAAAGACTTCCCCACACATTCCAATATGCTCCGTTCGAAGAAAGTTCTTCGGTATCCAGAGATACCAACTAAAGAAGCCCTTCAAACGACTGTACCTGTTGTTTCGAGTCGCATTGAAATACTAGGAGAATCTTTAAAAGTCAACATTCATTCATATATTTAGTGATTCAATAAAACTTTAATTTCATAATTGCATCGTAGAGATATGACATCGATTCATCCTGGCTCTTATATGACCCTAGACAGATGTCTTAATTTTGCTTAATTCCATCCTCTCGTTCTTCCCTGATCTTAAACTCAAAGGATTTTTCACAAGCAAGATACTGGCTCGGACTTTAATTTAGTTCAGAACGACTTCTGTGGGGTAAGAGCGCGTTGCACTGGGTCTCTCTGCGGCACAATATTCCTTAAGACGAAGGTGTCTGTTGGCGTTTCGCTTTTTAAATTTATTTCTCTGGACGCTGTTTCTTCGGCCCTCATTTGTACATTCTCACCAATGATAAATTATGTTAGATATTTAGGTAAAGTTAGCCTCATACAGCTGAAGTACAAACCCAAAGCCAGTGCCTATGATTACATGACTAGAAGACTTCGCCTGGATCGACCTCAAATCAACTCCGTGCCGCATCTATGCGCAATGTCTCGTCATAATTATTTCCGTGCATTGGTTACATAACACAACATATAATTTCGGTTGCCCATCACCCCTACTACTACTAAGTGATTGTAAACACCTTGCACATTTATATAGCCCCAATGCACATAATTTTATCTTTTTTATTATACCGCTTAAGAGTCAGGCTATCCGGAGATTGCCATCTTTGGCTGGTTAATGGTATAAAGTAGAATAATGTTTTAAAATCTCTCCTTCCATTCATAAAGCAGATATGCATGCTACCTGATTCAGTATGACTGAGCGTAAATCTAAATTTGTCTATTAAGATTAGCTCTTTGGAGATAAAGAGCTATACTCATGGAGGAAGAACTAGTGGAGTAGTTCAAATAATCTATACGGCATTAGCAGATATGCCAGAATATTTGGTAAAGAAGACGTACCAATGCCTCCAGAGGCGTTGGGTGTTCCAATGTTGGCGAAAAGGCCCTTAATTCCGCCCATTTTCTTCACAACTTGAGCAAACTTGGTGTGCTGCGTCAACAAGTGCTTGACTTCAGCTTGACTGACTCCGGCTCCACGAGCCACTCGTGCCACGCGTCCCGGTTGCCTGTTAAACAAGCGAGCTCCCTCGTCTGAATCGAGTTCTTTGTCGTTCATGCTGTCCATCATTGTCATTAAACGCTTTAGACGACGGTGACTCTCCTTTTAGTAAAAAAAGTGAAATTATCTATAAAAGAAGGCCCAAAAGGGCGCGATATGCTAAATGAAATTTTGATGTGGACCCTGTGTTTCGTATATACGAAGACCAATGCCTTGTGGCATTACAATTGGTAGCCTTGTCACATTTGCCAGAATTAGATTCCTTAAAATGGTGTTGTAGTTTCGCAAGATAAATAAAAAATAAAGAGGGGGTAATAGGTAGAAGTCAAGGCAGAAAAATAGTTGAAACCTAGCATCATTTCAAGAGTGACGAGGTTCAAATGAGTAGATAAGCCGATGAGAGCATGTAGCATAACCATCTGCTTAAACTCTTAAATAGAAATTTTACCTCTCAGGAAAAACAAAGAATATTCATAATTGGAGTACCTTTCCTTTCACAACTTGGTCATATTAGCAGGAAGACCTAGAGGAACACACCTTGTCAGGAGTTCATAATATGTATAATTATTTTCAATCTGATCTTGGACTTGATACATTTCCAGATGTTTCAATGGCATCATTAGTGAGTCTTGCCATTCTCAGCAACCAAGCTACAACTCGTCAAATAGACAAGTGAAATCAATCCTTTGACTTACTGTTGAAACAGTTGTGCTATAACTTCTCGTTTTGTCCTGGTCTCTCTAGTCTCACCCTCGCCCTATCACAACTTCTGGCGTGTTTATATTCCACAAAAGATGTGTCCTTTTGACTAATTTACAGTGGCGTCATCACACATGCTGTTTTGACAGGACGAGGGCGAGACTAGAGGGTAGGAAATGGATAGTGACCAGGAAAAAATCAGAAATGATAGCATAGCCGTTTCGACGGAAGGTTGGTCAAGGTATTGACCTCACTTGTCTCTGACGAGTTGCAACTCGGTTGCTGAGAATGGCAAGAATCACTGATGATGTTGGTGAAGCGTCTGGGAATGTATCAAGTCTACGGTCTGACTCTGGAAATGATATTACATACCATGGACTCCTGAAATGGTGCGTTCTTCTAGGTCTTCCTGCTAATATGACCAAGTTGCGAAACCAAGGTCAAACAACCTCTATACAACTAAAGGAGAC